AGTCTGTGAAGACTGTAAACAGTCATAAACTGCACTAACAACCTTCAGAGTTTCGCCTGTTTTTACTGCGTAGATTTTTCTTTTTGGTTACATTTTTGCTACTGGGTAACAGGGTTCCATAAGTTAGGAAGAAGAAACTAGTTATTGTATTGTTCTCTCTCAACGCTGGTGATTCATAGCGAGAAGATTTATTTAGATTTGTAATTATGGCACTTAGTTTTCGAACTTTTAAGTTTAAGTAGTTTTAACAGTGCCGTTGAAAGCTATTGAATGAAATTAGTTCCTTAATGAAAAGAAGCTTTTTTCCAGAAAAACACGTTGTTACTAGATTTGTTACTTACATAATGCACGCAACTTGTGCTTTTTTATTCTCGCGTGGTTTATCTAACGTTACGGTTTCCTCATGGCTCACCACAATCTTAAGTTCCAACTGCTGCAATCTGTTGTTTGCATCTTAAAAAAAAAGTTGTTGGTGCGTGGGTTTAAATTATGTTCGAAATGTCATCGTAAGATTAAACATGACATCAAAGGATGACATAAATTTCCAACAACATGAACTGCTTAGACTGTACTACATCTGCATCCATCCAACATCCAGCATCCACGTGCATATGTGCGACATACCTTGTGGGTATGTATGTATGTATGTATGTATATATGTATGTATGTATGTATGTATGTATGTATGTATGTATGTATGTATGTATGTATGTATGTATGTATGTATGTTAGATATCACAACGAATGCTTGACTACAATGATGATTACACAAACTTGTGCTGGTTGAATTGTATTCAATGCATTCGAACTAATACAAAGAAGTGGGCACTTTTGAAGGCAATAGCAAACTGAATTCCAATCTCAAAGATCTTGATCACGGTTGTGTTAAGAGTCTGCATTAGTAGACCAGCGAAGGAGTTCATAAAATGATTCCTGTGGCAATCTTAGGTGAAACAAATGTTATATTTTCATTTTTATTTTTATGTCCCAACATTTTTTGAAGTCGTCTAGCTTTGTAGGCCAAATTTAAAATAGAATGGATGCAAATTTTGATATTACTCTAAGCTGTCGCAAAACGCGAATCTCTAAATAGAATGGGCGCGTTTGTCATAGTAGAGAAAACCCAGTGCATTAGTGTACACAAAAAATAAAAAGAAAAAAAAAATATGGCATAACAGAAACACGGTAAAATGAAAGCTTATACAGAAGCAACAAATTAAAAAAGTTTTATTTTTGTTGTTTGTATAGGTAATTACTTTCCATAAAGCAGTTAATATCTATGTGTATTGACTACTTCATGAGTAGAAATAAAATAATTATCTCGGTATGCAGAGTACGAATATTTAAGCACGCGTGATAAAAGCGAACTGAAGCGTTTATCTGGAATAAATACAAACTGAAAGTGCTTAAAATAGATGCAAGAAGAAAAGATGACAGAACTGTCAATCAGGTAAAACCAAAACATTTGAAGTCTACTATGTATAGTATATATACCTATAGTATCTGTCTACTACATAGAAGTAGAGTATTCCTGTATTGGATTGTATAGACACCTAAAGTGCGTGCTCTTCGAATTCAACCGCAGTTTCGCACAGTAAAAGCGACTTTGAACTCTTCACAAGCTATTAAAAAAAATAAGGTTAATAAAACTAATTTGGAATCAATTGGTTTTTACCGTACTGGTCGTATTGGTCATAATACAAATTGATATCTAAATAGTTTAAAATTTGTTTTCTTAGATTTGTTAGCTGTGGTCAGGGCCAAAATCACTGTGCGCTATTGTTTCACATCGGCAATCGAAAGTGACCGCAAATTGTGTTATTATTCGATATGGCAACAGTAGCAGATCGAGCGCCACAATTGCTACACATATTCCACTTTCTGTGCAAATGCTACGTATTAGTGGAGTGGAATAATGATTGATGCTTGCGCTGCAGATACATAATTTTTAATTTGACCAAACCTGAAACGAGTTCGAACTCTTGTTACTCGTACCAAAGCATAACACACTAAGCAAAGGGCGTAACACACTAAGCAATCCGAAGGGTAATTAACTCACTTTTGCGAATCACGCCTTCGGCCAATACAAAAATACAATATCCACTGAAACGGCTTTTAATAATAACAGGAAGTTAAGTAAATGCCCAACAAATGTTAAGACTAATAATATCAATATTCACACTATTGTGTACTTAAAGAATCACGTATGCTCACTTACTTCTCCGTAACTGGGCTTCCGATTCATGAGGTGATGTAGTTCAAAATGCTTTTCCCTTTTTTTGCCCAAGTTCGTCTTGGGTATCTTCAATGAGTTGCACCTTATGTATATGAAGAAGAAGAATTTTCGATAAATTAAAAAATTATATTTATGTTGGATTACTAATGATGATTTACGCTACGAATTGCGATCATGTATTTTTCATAAGCAGGTCAGATGACTTTCCTTCAATCAATCGTTTGAAATATTACAATCGAAAAATTGTATGAATTGTTCCTTGATTCTTCCATTTGAATATGTACAAATCAGTTAACCTTATTTCAGTGATTCACTTTAATTTAAATACATTTCATACATTACATACAACAATATTTTTACTAATATAATACCTATATGCCCTTAAACTTGACATACACCGAAACTGATATGGTAAAGTCTTTAACGAACTACGGCATTCAACCACAGATAGAGACAACTGGAGATTCTATGTAAATCGTCTATGTTCCTGATGGAATGAGACTTATATATATTAAACTTGATATAGATTTGCTAAAATATTGGTAATGCAATAAAAGAGATCTTGGAGATTCTAAAAAGAATATAATTTGACTTTAATTAAGTAATTACATATATATATTAAATACATAACATACGATAATACTTTCAATTGCCATATACAAAAGTGGCATAATAATATTACATAGGGTATATTATTATACCCAACAAAAGTGAAAAGAGAAATCGGAGATTCAATAAAGAATATATATTGACTTTATACTGATATTTAACACATAGACTATCTGCGAACAATACTTCGGAAAGTATATAACTATCTTTGTAACGAAGATTCATATCTTACGAAAAAAAAAAAATTTAACAAAAAAAATCTGAAATCACTAAGGTGCAACTTAAAGATGTGTTCTAAATAACACACATAGTGGGAAATATCTATATTATTATACTTATATTGAAAAACACATTAGAGCGATCCGTAAATCTCTCTGATAAATCAATGTTAAAACTGCTTAGATTTTAATAGCGCAATTAAAGAGATAATGGAGATTTTACGAAGAATATAAATTTTTAATTTTCAAACTACATAACTTACTATAACATCTAACCTATTTATTGTAGATATACTCAGATGTGAATAATATAAGAAAGGACACATCATAGACGTGACAAATCGATCTGAAAATTTTCGTCAGTCTGACTATTTGTTGATTTTAACGTATACTTAACGTTCAATTTTTGAGATATATGATTTCAATATCTCATATTGACTTTCTGGGAGTGAATCGTAAACAAATCAATTATATTTGATTCACTTCATCTCATAACGGACATATACATAAGCTAAGCGTATATAGTTACAACGATGAATATTAAGTTTAAGGACACATCGGGGGCCTTTTATAATTCATAAATCTCGATTTAAACAAAAAGATAAATCAGAGTAGCGATGTCTAACTGTCAACTTATTCTCAGGCTTTCAGATTAGTTTATAAAATTTGTTAATAGTTTTTATTTTTTAAAGGACCCATAATATTTTTCCAATAATTTGTATTGGATGAGAAATTCACAGTGAGGTATTATATCATGTTAATTTATGATTAACCTTATGTCTTCAATTTTAATAATTAAAAATTAATAATCATGTGACTGTTGTGATTGTATCAGATTGTATCGAGGTTAAGGTGTAGAGGATAAGGTGTAGAGAATCTTTGAATGTTGCTTTACACATGTTATGTTTTAGATAAGGCTGTCCAAAGCACGGTGTCTACATGCGGTCCGTGGCCAATATTTGTGCGGCCCGCGACATGTTTCTAATCTACCACAATTACGTAAATTTTCTTTTGGTGCACTTTGGTAATATTATATTGTTTTATTTTTATAGTGTCCCAAATAATTAATTTTCATTATTAAATTAAAAAAAATAAATTTAACATTATAGTCATATTTTTATTTCTCTCCAAAAAAACTATAAAAATATGTATTTCTTTCAGCTATCGTATCTGGTCTGAACAGCCTTGCTGTAGATGACAGTTTTATTTAAACAAGATCTATGAAATAGTTTAAAGTTGGTTTGTGGTTGAAGTTCTTCGGATACCTCACATGATCTTCTATGGTACTCTAGCTAATTAGCTTGCAGTTCTCCAAGTGATTTACAAAGTAGTTATAATATCAATAAAAAATTTGCTTTATTGACATAGAAACTGATATTTTCGCCTATTTCTAAATAAAAATTAAAAAAAGTTATTACTTAAAAAAGTTACTAGTTTTTTGCCATCCTTTTAAGACTAATTCTTAAGATAATTTCAAAGCATTTCTTAGCCTATCACTATTGCGTCTGTAGCGTCAATAAGTTACTTCCTCCGTTTGTGGCACCCCCGGAATCAGAATCGAAAGGGTGGATTTTTTGCAAGGATATGTTTTCTCCACGTTAGGAGTCTGTCGAAGTACATGCCCCTATTATATGCTTTCTTAAATTTAGAAATCGACTTAATAATGAATTTTGTGGTGAATATACTACTGATATGTGACCCCAAATAAAACAGATTATAATTTTCCATACATTGTTTTTTTTATTAATGAAAAGATAACTATTATCTAAGAAATTCAAAATTGACAGTGTCCAATTTGATAACGTGTTTTTAGTAAATAGATTAACAAAATTACAATTGTAATAAAATGTGTAAAAGTGTGTAAGTATTATTTTTGTATTGGTTAACTTTTCTAAGCTATAAATACAATTAAAGACTAAATTGAGCTAAACCTCTTTTGTTCAGAAAGTTTCGTTCTTATACATACGATAAATATTAATCAGATATCTGATACTTCTCTGTAATACTAGCCATCATTTAGAAAAAATTAAAGCCTTCAAAATGTCAAAAGCAATATATAGTTCTATAAATATCTATACGCATCCCATTGATGTACTTCTTTGGGTGCATAAATTTGAATATCTTAAAATACTTAAATTATTTTGCAAAGAAGCCAATATTGTAATAAATAGAAGAAAGTGAATGGCTTCTCTGAAGTGGTTTTCATGTCGTGCTATCATCTCCGAAAGTTGATTTGATTGGCATATAGTATTGTAGGTAGTTGTTGATACGCTGTTGGCGATAGTGCAGAACTCGAGGAGTAGAATTAATAAATTGCTTAGCAATTGATTTTATGAGAGTGTCCGAATACTTTTATCGCTTTGCTTTGCTATTGTTTCTTTCGATTCGGATAGTATGACATCGGCTGAGGATGATCGAGATATTGAAATATCATTTTCGGCATCACTGCCAGCATAGTCAGTGTCGTTTTCTGCTCCTGGAATACTGGTTGGTGTATATAAATTCTCGTTATACGTTACTTGACCCATAAATGTGCGTATTTCATCGAAATATGATTCTTCCCTGTCTGCTTCATTTGATGAAGGGGAATCACCGATGTTTAAACCAAGGCCGGTTGTATCGACTTCGTGTTTCTTGAGATGGCGATCTAGGTTTGTTTGTTGGCCGAAGCACCTATCACATAAATGACAACGGAATGGACGTTCCTTGTTATGTATATTGCGTACATGGCGCTGTAGATTTGATGAAATAGAGAAAGCACGATCGCAATATTTGCACGTGTAAGGTTGCTCTCCGGTATGTGTACGAAGATGCCGAGTGAGATTGGCTGAGCGTGGAAACATTTTACCGCAGAATTTACACGTATAGCGATCTTTAATTTTGCCTGTGGTAGCTTGTAGAACTCTACTTGAAAGACTTGTTGCTCGTAAAGCTTCTCGAAATGTGTGTTCAGGTGGAAAATGTTCATTGCCGTTCGTATGCACGGCCAAGTTTGACGTGCGCTCAAAGCAAGACCGTCCACTCATTGAGCCTAAAAAATTAAATGGTCTTTGAAATGCCGCTAATGCATTCGTTCGATATATTTCGTCCAGAAACATTGGATGAATAGGTTGTGGGCAGGCCATTGCTGGTAAACTCTCTCCATTACCACTTTGTAAATCGTTGCTTGGCGGTGATGGTGATGGTGTTGGACAAGGTGATACTGATGGCACCGAATTTTTATAAAATGACAAGCATACTGAATTTATTTCAGATGGACTTTTTGCGCTAATATTTGATTGATCAGCGTCTAGGTCTGGGTTGGACTCTTGTTGTACTTTGTGTTCACTATTGTTGTCATTTTCTCTTTCATAACTTCCTTTCTCACTTTCGTTAGCAGTTTTAATCTTTTTCGATAATTTTTCCAACATAATGTCACTATTTTCTTTTCGTTTTTGTTTTTTGTTGACGCTTAGATCTAGTGGCAACTCCGTACTGCTCGACTGCTGTAAATTACTTTCAACCGGTGGTGGAGTGTTTATAATATCTATGGATTTCTAAAAAATTAAAATAAGAAAGATGTAATAAGATGCAATAGTTATTTAAAATTTTCTTTTGCTCACCTTATCATCTTCTGAGTTGCGTTTTTCATATTTCGCGCCATTTGTGATACCTTCAAACATCGACTCTGAAGGTGGAGATTTAAGTGCAAAACTTGATGAATTCGAATCTTCATCTGAAGGCAAAAAAGAATTGCGATTTTTTGGTGTTGGACAGGAGGTACTGTATACGTCTGAGGCATTAATTTCAAGGTAGTTATGATTTTTGTTGCAACTGTTTGTTCTCGTGCCTTGCTGGTAATTGACTTTTGTAGGCAGGGAGTGACGCAAAGTGTCAAAGTTTATGTGTTGATTTAAGTCTAAGTTATTAAGGTTTGTGCAATTTGCAGCAAACTTTGGCTCTTCCGAATTACACTGATTTGCTGTTGGCATCCGTAAATCCAAGTTCGGTTTTGGAAAAATCAGTGGAAAGTTTGAATTGTGCGCTGCTTGACTCTGTGCAAACATTCCTTGTAAGCCATAGGCTCCTGGGAAACCAGGAAAAAATGGTGTCGGTGAGCGGAATAAAAAGAACGGATTTGGTGGAGCAGCCATTGTGGGATTAGACGCATTCGCTCCTGGTACTGAAACTCTTGGCTGCGTTACTTGTGGCGATAACTGCTGCGCAAGTCCTGAAGCAATCCCCACTGGAGTTGTTACTATACTTGTTGAATCACAAAACCGCTTATGTTTGGATAATGAAGTTACAGTGCTGAAACTTTGTCCACACTTATTACATTTGATTTGCATACGACAGTCGGCGTGCATACGCTTGTGCCGACATAAATTAGAAAACTGAGTATATGCCTTAAAACATACTTCGCACTGGAAGGGCTTAACAGATGAGTGTATATGAGTGTGCTGCTTTAAACCGGACGATGTCGCAAACGTTTTCCCGCATTCATGACAAGCGTGGCTTCTAGCACCAATGTGGCGGTTGCGAATATGGCGCTGTAAGTTTGATGGATCACAAAATACCTGCAAATAAAATGTTCGGAAATCTATTATAATTACATATTTGATACTACAATTGAAATTGTTTTCGTTTTCCTTACAATAAACACACATTCAGTTTACACAGATCCAATTCAAACACTTGTACAATAAAAGTATGTATATGGTATACTGTGTATAAAGCCTATCTATATGAAAGTATGGTGGTAGATTTGATCTTACAAAAAGTTTAAAACTTCCAAACAAAGAGTAAAGTCGTTGGCTAAGCTCACCTCTCAATAAAACAGAAATTAATCAATCATTCATACCATTAAAATAACCAAATTAAGAAATTGTAAATAATTAAGCATCGACCAGGCCAACTAGTCTCCTAAACGGATCTGTCTCACATTTTGTTTCTTATAATATATGTATAATATGTACAATATGAATAATATGTATAAAGTTACACACACCGTGATAAATAATAAAGATTACGCAAATATTAGCAGAGCAACACCTCCATCAATTGTTTCCATCAATTGGTACAAATGTCGTTTAACCGTAACAACGTTTCATCAAAGGCGTCCGCATACAAACCATTTGTGAGGGAATAGTTATAGTTTTCAAATGGAATATGTCTCCCTCTATAAATTTGTATCTACACACACATCACTCTCGATCTTCGTACCGCATTATTCGGTATTTGAAGCTTTGGAGTGAGTTTCTTTGTTGTCTTAAATCGCTTTATCGTTTTAAAAACGACTGTATGTATGTGGAAAGTATTGAGCATGGAGCATTGAGCACTGAGCATTGAACAGTACACAAACACACAAACCCACAATCCCACAATCCTCTAATCAAAAAACCTGCATTGCACACGATTTTCTATACTTTGGTACTGTTATGCCTAATCATGCTGTCATACTGGTAATGTTTCAACTTGGTACGAATATCGACATGACGAAGCACAGCCGTGAAGTGAAGCCTCATTGTCTTCTGGTTTATGTATGAAAACAAGAATAGCTCGTGCTACAGCTACTTCACTTCTTCTTGTAACATCAAATGGATTAAATTTGAATCTCAACAATTTTATATGTACGAGTAAATTTAACTGTTGTTTGAAGGTGGCGGAGGAGGCTAAGGCCGATCATACACTACAGTAGCGTACTTTCAATCAATTTTTGGGAGTAAATATTGCTTTCTTCATTAAACACTTTCTATCATGAATTATGAATAATTTATCGTTTTTTTTATAACCATATAAAAGAGAGTTAGTGGAGAAAATGGATTAAGCTAAGGTTGATGATAGTCCAATATAGCATGATATCATCTTTAAGCACTTTCGTTTAAATTTTAATCCTATTCGATGGTGTAAAAGGTAAGGGAACCAGGAAAGGTAGATTAGCTGAAAAAGGAGTTAGATAAGGTAACAAGAGGATAATCTCCTTCTCCTCTATTTACATTACAGCAGAATATCTAAATTCAATTTTCGAAATTTATGCATGTATTTTTATACATGGACGAAAGGGATAAGGGAGCCAGGAAAGGCAGATTAGCTGGAAGAGGAGTTAGAGAGGATAAGGACATTGCTGATTATATTGCAGTAGCATGTTTAAATTAAATTTTTAGAACTAAATGGTGTCGTCAAGGACACGAAAGAGAAGGGTATGGAGTGTTAGAATCGATTAGAGTGTAACAGCCATCTATTAATTTATGTTAGGTAATATATCATCTATTATTTTATATCATGACTATTATAATATATCATTTATTACCGCTCATATTACAGTAACGTATTTAAGTTCACTTTTCGGAATTAGATATAGGAATATTTGTATGGATATGGCGAGTCAGGGGACAGTAAGGTTATTTATGGTGCAGTATCATGAAATTGCTCTGTGAATGTTAGAGGTAATATTCTTATTTACGAAGGCAGATATTGATGACAAAAATTTTTTAATAACAAATTTTTTAAAAAAAATTTAGACTTTAAAAAATTTTTTATTTTAACTAATACTTCGACTGTGTTGTATAGTCATAGTACCCTGAAGAGTACCCTCAAGATGACTATAGAATATAGTCGAAATACAAATAATACGATAATATTTCGAAAATAATATAAAACCAATATTTTGAATATATTGTACAGTTATAGTATTCTGAAGATGACTATAGAATATAGTCGAAATATTGATTTTATATTGGTTAATAAGATTTTTTTTTTAAATACTAAATTTATTATAATTATGTATTATATAATTATTGACCAATTAGCCCATTTTAAAAAGAAAATTGTTATTAAATATTTGTTAATAATGAAATGTGTATATAACTAATGGAGGTCTTAAAAAATTTTCTTGTCAAATGTCCTATAAATTTTGATTATTATATACATTTATGATTTTTTAGGGCGTTTACGATTCTATTATCAATGAAAACAAAGTTAAATAATTAATGATTATTTAAGTCTCATTTACATATCTCAGCGTATTAACCCTCTTTGATCGGGAGCACTGAGTCTCTGTTTTGTATTGATCTTCTATTCAAATTGGAACTCTTAGTTGTCAGCTCTATTCATAGCAAGCCAGATTAAATCTTTTCAACCTTCGTTTTCGTGTATGACAGCATTTTTGTTTTACTGAACCCAAAAAAAAAAGAAATAATATATCCCAAGCGAAAACTAATACAGTAATGCAGTAAGACGTCCAAAACATCAATATAAGAATAAACCCAACAACAAAAGAACAAAATCCCTTTAGTAGAACTGAGGCAGCGCAACACTAATATGTCATATGTAAATGTATATAGGTATGTATGAAGGTATGAATGTATGTATGTAAATCTAATCAAGCATTAAGTAATGGTAATAACCGAGTTAAAAAAGCATGGCGATGTTCGCCGTTAAAAGTGATGGTAAGATCGGTCATCACTGTGAAGACCACGTAAATGCGCATGATTGGACTGTTTTTCGTTTTCTTGATCGAAAACGGAACTACCGTTAGAGGTTTGATCAATGTTTGTAGCTGTATTTTCGGTAGACGAGTAGGCGAAGATTTGAATGCGTATTGGAAGAAGATCATTTAAAAATTATTTTCAATCAAAGTAAAGTAAAATAAAGTGAAGCAAAGCGAAGCAAAGTAATGCAAGGTAAAGTAAAGTGGCAGCGGCCACAGCGTATGTATTTCAATAATTAACCTAACGTCATTATGGTTTAAAGTGGCAGAAGAAGGCAGTAGCAGCAGCAGATGATACCACTAAGTCCAATAAAGACATTCAGACGCAGGCGTAGCAGTCGACGGATTGTAAAAGCTCCAAATTTCATGATCGCCAAGCAATAAGTGTTTCTCTGGGTATACGCCCTGTTTGTGTTCAATTATTACTTTGTACTCGACCTATGTATGCATTAAAATTTAAGCAATTTAAAAGTAAGTGCCCGCGGCTGTTGATCTGGTAGAAATCAAAAGTTTTTTCCATAACTCAATGACTTTGACGTTTATCTTTATGGGACCAGCTAGACACTTGATCACAAGTTGATCAATCTTCACACTTTAATATTAAGTGGCGTGACATTCCATTAAATTTTTTTTACTTTTGTTTTTTTTTTTACTTTTTCTTTTTTTGTTGTTTTTTTTATTATACAAAGACTGTCAAAAGAAGAATAAATTGTACATAAAAAGATTAAAATAACTGTCGATTCAAAACTGTTTTAAACTAAAATTTTTATAATACAATAGATTTGAGCAGTAAGAATCTAGGCGTCGTCCTCTTGACCAAAACTAGTACTTGACTATCATTTGCAAAAAAAAACCAAATATTTTTATGTACATCCGCATAGTAGAGCTGAAAAGACAGCTGTAGAAGATACTTAAAAAACTTGGCAAGATATTTACTGTGTCTAAAATAAATTAAATAAAGTGTAGTCTGCAAATAGTTATGGTATACCTGTCATACCTGTAAGATACTTATTTTGAGTATCTAACAATTAACATTTGTAATGTAAATTATAAAATATATATTGATTTAGATATACGGTTATGTCCCTAAAACTCTACAACTATTATTGAAATCTGTTGATATTTGGAATAGCATAAAATATATATAATGCATTACATATACAATTATTCTCCGTAATTATTACAAATATTAAATCTGGTAAATAAATAAAACATTACAAGTCCTAAATTAGACACACAATATTTAGGACTCTTTAAACAACGATTTAGGCTCCTAAAATATAACAACGTTTAAATAGAAACGGAAGTAATAGAAAATTTCCGACCACAAAATGGCTCATAACTCCTTGAATAATAATTTAGCCACACATATATGACACACAGATATGACAAGTGTGAAATCATGATCGACATTAGATATATAATAATATATTTAAACACGACTTTTAAGGCTTAATAAGGATCTGATTAAGTCCGAAGAGTTACATAAGTATTAAGTAATGAATTAAAACTATGAAGTTTTAAAATACTTTAGATACCGATATACACTTCTGATGTCGATTAAATTAGGTATAACAGGTAAGTAGTGACACTTGCTTGGTTTGCCACTAACCAATAACATATTAAATCTTTGATGAAAGTTGGATCTTGCATATTTAGTTGTAATTAGCAAAATATTAAATATTGTATAAGAAGTCCATGTTGCCACTTTCATGTTTAGTCTACTACTAGCTAGCAGCTGATGGAATTATATATAAGTGGTAATTATTGACACTTGCTTGGTTAGTGTTGGTTCTAATTTACTTCTAACTAATAACTAGTAACGTATTCACTACGCTAAAAAAAATATCGGTAACTTTTGTCTGATTAGTATGCTATTAGCTGAATCCTATATGAAAAGTCAGTGTTGAATTAAAAAAGATTTTTTGTGCAGGCTACACTGAATTTTGGATAAGAATTCAATAGCTGAGTAATATGGAACAATACGGAGTGCTCGAAAAATAACTATGGTAGCGAGCGACTCATTCTTTTGAAATAAATTTTTCGATGTTGCATAAATATTACTCGCCTCTATTAATAATAACACTCAACTTTAGATATTCAACTAAAAGTTTTCACTTCTCAAATTTATTCTGGATCCTACTAGAACATGGAGCTATAACCTATCACACATTTATTTAACTTACTTAGAACTTACTTTCATAATCTATCACTATTGTAATACGTATTCTGATTTTTGGGGTTTGTGATATATATGTATTATTCACTTACCTTTGTACAGTTTTCGCAGGGATATTTTCGAACGTCGTTATGATCAAGGGCTCGGTGTTTAAGTAGCAGAGGTCTATGGCAATAAAGTTTTGCGCACAGCTCACAGGAAAATTCGTTCTTTCGAAAGTGATGAACAGCGACCAAATGATCGTCTAGGCTGAAAAAGGCAAAAGGCATAAATGTAAAATGTGTAAGTTATGGTAAATGTAAGATATACTATTCTTATTACTTTTTAACAAATAAGCAAATTTACATGTGTATAAACACAATAAAATTGAAATGTGAGTTTAAAAAAAATCAAAAACATGAAGAAATATGCACGTGAAAATTTTCACACGACACACACTGCCCTCACCCTGGGCGTATGGCATATGCACGATATGCCAGACAAGATAATGTCCTGGCGAATACAATTAACCAAATGATGTTCAATATTTAATGTATGATAAGATCTTAAAGCCACTTAGGGAGTTTAATTCAAACACAAACACAAATGCAAACAGCGACACTAACACAAACACAATCAGAAATAAATAAAAACGGATTTATGTCCTTGATATGCACAACGTACTGGCATATGCCAACTCCTCTGAAAGTCAAAATACATATCTACATGTAGGTGTGAATAAGTGAGTGGTATTGGCAGTAGTGGTAGCCGCAATACTCTTTATACCTTTTGACTACGGCGAAATGAGATCCTTATCGCGTTTTTGACCATATAACGCAGTGTCCTCGAAAAATGAGGCGGCACTTTGCGTGGGCGCTTAGTGCACTCAAATACAAACAATTATTGTTATAAATCAGATTAATGCAAATGAAAAGGACTTGTGCCACCTGAACGATAAGATACAACAAAATCCTGCGCACCCTTGTGATTCAGGCTGTAAAAGTGCAAGTAGCGCTACAATACCTGCGTTCATTATCCCATTTCAAAATATTGAAGAGACTTTAGTACGCACCAACGACACTGATACCTTAACTTAGCCAGCAAAAATGACTTAAGGTAGCCAAGTAAGGTACGATTTACTCTACATCAGTTCAGTTCGCTACTTAGTTAAATCATTTTCGAATTTTGACAAAGAACGTAAGGCAAAGGTACGAACTGTACTTCAATTTTCGCATTAAATAGTCACTTGCGTGTAAGCGTTCCCTAATTTCGTGATTTAATTACCAACTTCTTTCTTCGTGAACGGAAAGCACTGGAGGTACTGCCATAAACCATGTAATCCAAAACTATATGAACGTGTAAATGTGAGTATTAATGCATTTTGCTGGTATTCTCTGTAAATTACGATGACGTTTCCACTTACAAAGTTACACTCTTTACTATTTTTTATATGTAAATAAATACTAAATAATTTTAACTTGAATCCTTTTTCACTATACATATGAGAACAAATCGCTTTATTATGTCTGTGTAGTAATATAATAGCTAGTATTAATTAATTCTAAGACCTACAGGTTAAATAGTGATTATATATTCCCTGTAAGTTACAAACTGTGTATCATTAAACTGATTTACAAGTATCGCAGAGAAGCTTTTATGAGACTTTAACGAATTGGATATTACAGATTCAGCTGCCATTGGCTACCCTGTGTATTAACAGTTTTAATCTATACAGTATCGAGTTCATACCAACAAAAAGGAAGCTTTTCTTTGGGTACAATAATTGCATAAAATATATGCTATGAACCTTATATGAAATGGTTTCTACAGATCGGGTTAGGTTTCGAAGCTTCGAGCGTTTTCCACTTAACTACGAAAAGCTATTCGAACATCACATTTTGTATGAGTATTTGTCGTTATATGTATTTGTATGTAATAAAACGAAAATAAAATTCAACGTTCTGCAGAAGAGGTCGTTCAGTTTTGAGGTTCGTACCGCGACCATTATGCCGCAACTCGTATATTTTCGAATCTCCGAAGTGCTGGTCCAAATGTTCGATTTGGTGTTTACTTCTTGAACGTTTTGCATTATGATTGTTAATAGTTAATGGACTTCTGTGTATATACAGTTCCAATTAAAGTAGTGTGGATTGAATTGGATTACAAAGTAACTATAAAAAGTAACTGTTTGTAACATATACGGAATATTTGTAGAATATTATCTAAAAAATTAATTAAATATAATGTGAAATTATACTAAATTTATAACATCAGATCAGATGATTTTGAATTGTGATTGGCAATAACACAAGGAGACTCGCTATCAATCCAGAATAAACAACTTAATTTTGGACTCAGAGATAAGTGAAATATACCAACTTGGCACATTGCTGTATAAATTATTATATATATGTGCTTATAGTCATTCTTGCTAGAAGTAGGTATTCTTTTCAAAACTCGAGATATAAAATGGAGTTTTAAAATAAATAAAAAAGGGAGAAAAACCACGAAAATTATTCTTTCGAATTACTACTAGAATTGAAATATCTAGACGTTGTGCTAAAAGATCCAACTTCAGCAATATAAGGACAGCAATATAAGAACCTTGTGCATTAACGACGCATAAAATGTGGTAAAATTTCGATAAAACTAAATTTAAAGAAAATAAAGCTAAGATTATAACTCTTGGTGATTATGACAAGTTTCACATATAAAATTCGGAGCTGGATTTTGAAGTAGTATGAAACTCATCCATTATTCCAGTTTGAATGTATAATTGACTAAAAAATAATTGGATGGTACATATTGTGAAACATATAATGATAAACTAAGTATGCTAAATATAATACATGATTCACTAATTCACAAAGGTTACCAAGAAAGGGTAATAAATGAGTAAAAAGATTTTTGATTTGTATTCATGAAGACACACAAAAAGATTTCCAGCGCGAAGCTGACTTAAAGAATATATAGACATGCTAAGATGATTTCCATAAAGTAAGCGTTGAGCTATCAATGTTTTAGTAATAATTGTTACCAATGTAATTAATTCATGCGATTAGAATTGGATTTAGTAAACTAATATATTCATATTAAATATTTGTTTTATCATAATTCACTATTGATTTATTTTTATTTGTAAGAACTAGTTCATTTGTAATATTGTGGCGACTTCCGTGTATCAACCTTTCGAAGCTATACATTATGGACTTCGTGCTATCGAAAATAAATTCTTTCTACAAGTACAATATAGAAACTACTGATACAATAAAAACTTTTTATAACTTCCTATCGTAGATATAACTTGATGTAGCCAATTTTATAAATTCCATAGGCTATATAGAATAATTTCTTGTTATTGAAAATCGGATATCGAAAGTTGGAGCATAAAGTTACTCACATACTTATCTGAGAAATATATACCAAATAATCTCCCATGGTTATTATGTGTTTGTATATATTTTGTATATATGTACACTTGATTTTATAACTGGTTGAGAAAATGATACTTACAGTTCTATATCCGCAAATGTTTTATCACAGACCTCACAGCGTATATCGAAACCGTTTTCGTCGTCAGATAAATTATTTTCGGACTGATTGGCAGGGACTTTTTCTTTACTGAAATCCTCATCACCTGTTGTATTTCCGTTATATATGACACCTAGTACAAAAAATGGAATAACCATTTATCATCAATAATAATATTTTCAAAATAAATCACTTAATTCAGTGGAATAAATTTTGTAGTAACTTTAATTGAATGAGAAAACCGTGGTAGCTCATCTTTATTTATACAAATAATTCACTTTAAATCTTGAGTATCCTTAATACCTTAAACAATTTACACTAATTTAGCAACGTTTTATTTTTCAGTAAAAATTATATATATTTAACTTTTAAATATGATTTATATGATTCCTAAATAGAATTCTAGAGGAATGCAACTTTGAACATCCGCTCGGTTCACCTCTCAATAAACAAGTGGTCAGACAATTCTAGCTATGTCAACCAAAAGTCCTTTTTGTATTGTATGCCTCATAGTCCATATAGCACGAAAATTGAACGCAGCAACAACAAAAAGCCACTAAACTTTCAATATGTTAGCATGTAAATATTTTCATAATTTATATCACTCGAGTCGAGTGCTATCGAAGGTTAAAAGTGAATAGATAATTGCCCTAAATGCCAACAACCCTTGGACAAGTGCAAGTGCGAGTTTAAACAAAACAAAAACTCCTTTTTAACGAATATCAGATATTTTGGCTTATTGCTCGCATTGATATTCCTGTCTTCAAACCCTTATTCCTTCATGCCGTCATGCAGTGTCATCCAAGTGCGTTACTGTTTTGTGATGCCTTCTGTTGAACTGACTGACTCCTGCACACTCGGGCTATACAACAGGTGAATGAGCAGCCCACGCACTGCTTGCCACAGAAGGGATTGTGAAGTTTAGCCCGTTGGAACTACATTTCTTAAGGGTCAGGACTTAAGGGTCAGTAGCATGCTTGGGAAATTATGGCACATTATATTCAAGGAAAATAAGCCATTCATGCTACTTCGTGGATATGGTTCCAGTGGACTGATTTCGATCACAAAAGTCATGTAACACTCTTTGAACTATTAAATGCTGCAGGTGCTGCACATGTCCTTTGCGCTCGTTTTTTTTTTTTTTTGGGGGTGTTCGAAGCACCTGAGTAAGAATCATGCAACCTAATTTAAATGAAAAGCGGATTTTACCTTTGAAAAAAGCGTTTCTCTGCCCTCATTAATTGCGGAGAGAAATAAAATAGTTGAACGAACAGGAGTAATGATAACTTTTGTATGTAGTGACATAAAGTGAGTTATTACAGAAGTCAGGAGTTAAAAATGATTCAACTAAAATATGTTGGATGTACTTGAGCGGTTTTATAAGAAAAAAAATAATAGGACTACATAACTTTTAAATAATATTTCTATGAAGTAAGGATATTCCATATAACTATTGGGTTTGGTCTAACAAATGCAAAGGAGTAAAAACATCATCAGCATCAAAAATTGGCTACTGATAATTGTTTGCCCTTCAATGTGTTTGTTACTCTCATTAGGTTATTACATTATAATATCACATTACAGCCTCAATAATGTAGAATTAAAATACTTTTTATTGGACTATAAGCGGTGGGTTTATAGTTTTTAAGAAATAGTAATAAACTGGCACTTTAACTATTGCTTTTAGAATTTTTGAAATAAATGAGATAGTCAATGAGACTTATTCACATTATGTTATACTTATGTTATAATATTCTTCAGGGCTAGAGTTCAGATCTCTCTTGATTCAATGAAACTACACATTGATCTTAAATATATTGTTATAATTATTTAAAGCTACAGCAGTAAATCTAATATATTTATACCATCCATGCAGTAACGCTTCTAGTCTTATCCAAATATAGACTTAAGTAAATCTTTCAATATTTAAATAATTAGATCTTTCTTACTTTAATGAAATTAGATTGAAATACTGCAATAATTATGATTAATATTTGGATGGGCAGCAGCACATCTAATGTATTCACACCATTCTTACACAATTGTTCTTCCGCTGGCTTAGACATAGATTAGGAATATGAATAAACGTTAATGTAATCATTATGTTTTTATGTTTAGTTTTTTGGTAGAAGTTTTAAAAAATATTTTAGATCGATAAAACCAGATAATCACAGGACACAAACAAAGTCTTCAGCTATAATAAAAATTATCATTAATTTAACTTTTCCTGATATTCTTATCAATAGCAAATGCGTAGGTGTGACCAGATTAAAGTATTCCGATTTATGGAGACTATGGAAGCCTATGGATTAATAAGTCTGATGGAGTTTCTAAATTAAAGTATTTGAATTTTAATATCCTTTTTAAACTGTGTGGTTTAGTTTTAGAAATGTTTTTTTTTAATTTCAATTATAAATGTGTGAATACAATACCTCGGTTAGGCGCAACTTGGACAGGAGGGGAAGCTCTATATAAAACTAATTATTTGTTGAAATAATCTTTATTCTAATTAATTAATAAAAATTACTAATTAAAGTAATTTAACGGTAAGTAAAAATTTATTGGTTTTAATCGGGATATAATCAACAGTTCATGTAGCTGCATTACATTTGAGTAGTTCTCAAATAATATATGCACAAGGCCAGGTACTAGATAAGTTGGAAAAAATTGGAATTTCAGTTTAAAAAATTAAAAAATCGGTTATTATTATTACTATCAGCTAAATATTATGTGAGTTCAAGTCGTGATTAGTCTTGTCTGTATGTTAAAATATGTTTTAAACGGGGTTTGTGGCATATCGCTGTGAAATATTTTCCTTAGATATATATGGGCAGGCATTATCTCGTGGTATCAGCCTTTATTATAAAAATATATTATAATAAAATAATATCGTAGCCACACATATAAAGTGGGAAGGCATTGTCCTGAGGGCAACTATTGTTTGCGTTGATGAATATCAGATCACCATCAGATAGAAGTCAGATATTCAAAGGGAATTAATTCCATTGTTTGCATATGTGAAATCCATAATATTGTCAATTCAGGTGAAATCATTTAGTCTGAGAATTGACTATGTTGCAGTGTATTAAGTACATAAACAAATAAGTAAGGGGAAAGGAGAAAATTGCTTATTTATGTAATCAGTTTGTAAGAAGGGGTTCGGCGGGTATATGATTTAGTCGATTCTAAAAATATCACAGCAGAAGTGATTATCGCATTCAATCCGACAACGAAGGTGATTAATTATGTTTTGCACTCAGCAGCTTTCGATTAGTTCTTTTTGATAGTGAAAGGATATTTTAACAGTTTTTATTGATGTGTTTTCATAAATGAATCACATGTGCAGAATGGTTCGTATAGGCACTATGGGGTGAAATTGTATTGAGTGGGTAAGCTAAGTTTATGGAGGCATATTTGCAATGATGATAGCAATTGACTTAACCCTTTGGTTAGGTAGAATTGCATGGCTGGCGCTTTGTTTCCTGCTCATGCACATACGTGTCAGCTATTCTTCCGAATCAATTAGAAGTTCATAGCTATTTGATTCAATCTATGATTGATTGCTTGTCTTACATCGAGATATCACGGCTTGTGTCTGTTTTTGTTCTACGGATTCGTTGGGTTTGTTTATATAAGATTTATTTCTGCCACGTTCGCTTTCGGGTTCTAAATTCAAGGTTTGCACTATGTTTTCTATTCGATTATACGTTTAATTGTTAAATAAATTGATTATTGGATGTGTTGTAACATTTGTAGGACACAAACACTATTTCATATGTTGCAGAAAAAGACGAATAATTTAAAGAATGATTCATTGAATTGATTGAACTTCAAAACTTCGAATAAAAGTTGCACAAGTCAAAAATTGCGAAAATTCGCATCAATTTTAAATGAAAGGACGAATATGACTGCAAGTCATATCCATAGACTTTGCCCTATTGTTTGTTATGCGAGGGAAGCTATGGATAATAGCGTTTTAGTAAGTTGTGGAGAACAAGTGGAGTTTAGCTGTCATTATAGAAAGATACTATAGTTAAATTTAAGACCGGTCGCTAAAATAGCTTACATCGATATAGCTTCCAGTGAGTTAAATGCGAAACGGAAAACACAGTACTCTTTGATTTGTTCACGTACGGAGCGAATTAGAAAAAAATATGTGCATGCGTGGTGTGCACCACACCATGACGCACTGTGTATTCTTAGTCAAGGCGTTTTTACGTTGCACCTCGGTTTGATACGTGGCACAAAATTGGTAAGTCACAAAGTTATGGCCACAGATGCGGAGTGTACAGGTGTCGTACATGAGAAACTTTCATTCAAAAACGGTTACAAAATGTTCACTTCGTCCTTTGCGTTCGTGGTGGATGTACTAGTGACGATGAACCGCACAGTTCCTATTCAAATTTTTTACACATTATCCATTCAAATTTTGGTCAGCTGCTTTCCATATGCTTACTGTGTTGATTTCTATGCGATAATATAGGTAACCCGTAAGTTTGACAAGGAATGTCTCATATTTATTTAGTTTATAATTCACCAACGCCGCAACCACCATTATTAAATGCGACATGTCTACTTTGGGAAATGCAAGTGAGCGCATAGGGTTAGAGGGGTTGATAAATAGCTGTGACATATTCAAATACGGGTGACTAAATGATTACACAAACAATAAGATTATAAGTTATGCAATTACTTTGCAATGATACAGCGGAATAGTATATCTGAAGTGTTTACACGACTGATGTGATATATAACAAGCTCCGAGCAGCTATGAACGCTGACAGCAAATGAAAATCATTGCATAAAGATTGTTTCGGCATTTGCTCAGATTACATCCAAAAGCATCTAAGTTCTACTCTGTCGAGCGATGTGACGTGACGAGATGCGATCAGTACAGATGAGCCTGCGTAGAGTGTGTGTGTGCGGGACGAAACGTTCGCATGAAGCGAGACTGTCGACGCATGTTGGATTATGATTAAATTAGGATTAAATTAGGCAATGTTGTTCATTTATATATGTTGGGATAGGATTTGGTTGGAAACAGTAGCGGAACGGCTCTTTGACTGTACGAAGGATGCCTTGATGACATGTTAATGACTTTTATAATGAAATTAGAATTATATTTTCGAATGTTGATAATAGAAAGTGACATTATTGTGTATATGTAAGATGTAATCAACTCTCACAGTTTCTGTCAATTGATAGGAGTTGCGCTCTTTGTATGAGGCTTAATATATTGCGAGGTTGTGACAGACCCTCATAATTCGTTATTAAAAAAATATTTTTACATGTACTCTTTATCTGTGATCGTTAATGTTATTTTTTTAGCTTGCGTTCGTCATTGTTGTGTTTGTCATTGATTTAGTTGTTATCGCTGGATTTAATTATAGAATGTTAAACAAGGGGACGGGAAACATCATGTGCTCTATGCGATGAGATTTGTAGCATCTCATGCTTGTGACTTTTAACGACAATCAAATATTCATATGTCATATTGGTACGTGCCTTTGCTGAGTTATTGAAGGTTTTAACGCCAAAGCGATAACAAAGTATATATGTGCAATTCAATTATTAAATTGTATATTGTCATACGGTCCTGTGGCTGAAAATGAAAATAGTATCGTGTGTAATAATAATTCATTATCTAACCGTTTTCAATTTGCAAATAAACCGAAACAGTAGGTTATGGTGGTTGCAGTAGCGGTTGTGTTGATATTTTGACGCTATACGTTGTCGATGACTAAGTGACGCTTCCCACTCCTATCCAAGCTCAACCATTTTTAGGGAAGTTGAATCAAGAAACCCAAAGAATTGTGAAATAAACCAATATTGTAGTTAATAGAAATATTTTGGCATTCCCTTCAACTGTGTAAGCTTTTATTTCAATATTTATAATAGTCAGAGAGACAAGAAGTTCTGTTAGATAGCTAACAGAACTTCTTTCTTTCTACATAGCTTACTTAATTACTATTTTATTTACTTAACATGTCTAAAATAGGCTGTGCCATATTTCAGCCAGACGTAAAACTTCTCTTCAGCTTTTTTCTGAAGTGCACCGTTGAGTTTTGTATTTCAAGTACAGCAAAAATGAAAAAATATTTGAGCGTATGTAAATCTGAATCCAGACTGATCACTTTTTTCTTAACTAGCTATTTTTTTTTTTGACTAGCTTTTGTTGTTAATTTTTTGGTTATCAAGGATGGGATTAAGGGATACATCTGCGAACCTTCTGGAATGCGCACACGAAATATTCATCCATCTTATGTGCCCAGTTTCAAAGATTTCCGGGAAAAGAAACTAGTACTTCCATACGGTTTTGATTTAACTGAATTAGGTCTATTAAATATTGTTAGGTTTAACAATATCCCCACTGTTTTTAAACTATTTCTAAGGATAAGGCATTAGATCTTGAAGATTACATTAAACCACTGTCCATTCTAAATATAATCAAACGAATGCGATAGTTGTCGAGAAGTATTTTTCCCTTGTTTTGAAGGAATACAAAATCACAGTCGAAATAAGTGACTAATAGAATATGTAATGTTGATCAATGTGGAGATCTACTTTACAGGCATCAACGTTATCTTGGTTAAAGTGCCGCTGAAGACCAAATAGTACAGTGTATATACCCTTTAGCCCTATATCACAGTTTTACAATGGATCAAAGCATTGAAGAATGATTTGGCTCTAAATTTTATATTGTGAAAAGGCAATATGAAATTCATCAGAAACTAATGGCACATTAGTGATATTGAATAGGGTTATAACTAATGTAGGTAAGGATTATCCATGAGTAAAGATGATCTCATGAAATCTGGTATCCTTATTCACATGTATATCTTACTATATACAGTTTCCTTTTACCCTAAGAGATGAGAGTAAAAAAGAATTAGAACAATGCAAAAACTTCTAAATTTGTTCGACTTCAAGTAATGCTTTAATGTGCTTATGGTTTACATAAAGCATAAAATGTTTTTTTAAGTTTCTTAAAACATATATGTTTTAATAGTTAATTAAAATATCAATATCTTTATTCACAACCTCTCATCCGCCTTTTTGAAAAATTAAATACCCACTTCGTCATAAGCTTCCTCATGTTCACACTTCTGATCTGTATCAACCCTACATACCCCATAATCATAAACTGAGAGTTTGGTACTGAAATAGAAAAATGTCTTGTTCTAGGTGCTGCCCAAATTTTATTTTTTCGCTTTGAAAACATCAAAATAAAAAAAAATATGGCTAATACGGGTAGCTGTTATTCTAGTAAGAGAGAGACAACTCATTTTATTAATTTAGTTTAACGGATATGAAATAGATATTTTAATAGAATACTCGACACTTGAAACAAACCTTTAAGGAAAATTTTCTTAAATGCACTAAGGTAATAAACCATATGGGTCTATGAGTTTAATATGCAGACAAGTCAATAGTCATAAGAAAGAAGATACAAATACTAGCAGAACCTGAAAAAATCATGCCTTAGTCGAATCATAATCATAACTTGATTTAGCCGATTGTCCATAAGTTAAGATTTAGGAAAAGAACATCCATGTACTTATAAAGGAAACACACAATTCTAGAATTGAGCAAATAATGGTTCAGTAAAAGTTGCATTGACTACTACATATTAGATTTAATAGTCCATAAATCAAGATTTACAGAAAAATAATCTTTGTGCATGTAAGAGGAGAGAGTAAGTCTAACGAGTAAAGTCTGATTCTTTGAATATTTCTTTGACTCTTACACATAAGATGCGATTGTTTATTAATCAATATTCTGAGAAAGGGTTTTGTTGTTCTTAAGAGAGGATTATGCTAACCTAAAAGTGAGCAAAGAATGGTTCACTAAACGTTCTTTTCACTCGAAAACTTTGTTTTTAATTGTTCCTAAGACAAAATTTATAGCAAGACTTTCGGTGCATTTATGAAGGGTGCGTGTAAATCTGAAATAGAAATCTAGTAGTGCCTCTAGCTAACCTTCAATTTCAATTTACACTTCGACACGATAATTATATATAATTGAATTTGTTTAACTGCATAAGAAAATTGGTTGCTATTATGTGCTTTTACTCAAGGTGCAACAAGTCTTCCTAATGATTCCCTAATTCAGTGTATATAGCAAAAAAAAAGAAATATAATTGATAATTCACTATACAACAATAACTTCCGATTCTTTTTTATATTGAAATCGTTTATGTATGCAAAATAAGAAAATCGTAAAGCAAAGGATACACAAAACCATTTAAGCTTACCTTTTTCCCGTTCATTGGCGTTTTCCCCGGTCAGCGGTAAGGAAAAATTTCCGTTTAGAAATCCCTCTGAAACATGTAAGGGCGCTTTACAGCTGGGGTCAAACTTTAACTCTTCCCCAGCGTTTAGAATCTGCGTTGTTTCGTAAAAAAGCTGAAAATATTATTTTTTTAATTTATTTATTTTCCTCCCCACAAAAAAAAAATTACTTACGTAGCCGGACAGTATTAAACTTTTCACATTCGCCTCCTCATTTTTGCTCACCAGCCGAATTTTTCGGGTCCAATTTGAAACCTCCGCAGACGGTTCCAGCCATCCTTGAGAATTTGTATTAGCAATAACCTTTAAGAGAGATAATCGATTTATTACAGTATCCATTGAGACTGTCAAACAATTCTAAGTTTTTTAAAACAACATTTATTCCATTTTAAATATTATCATTTCAAAATGAATATTTAATTAATCCTGAATTTATTGACTTGTAAAGCAATTTAACAATTTTATAGCTTGGGTAGCGCTCTAGTGGCGAGTAGAAACAGCTTAAGTTATGGTTGTCGTCTGCGATAACAATAAATACCAAATGATTAATATTAAGGTTGCTCGAACAGAAGAACATTGAAACCGTCTTGCCGACGGAGTTGCGTGCCAAGCACAGAAAACCTGACCAAGTCGCGTGGTCGTGCAGTTATTTTTATAGTAATTTTTTATTTTCGTTTATCATTCTCTAATACACTGGTTAATTTATCTATGGTTTTTTATTTTAAAAATAATATAATAATTAAAAATAATTGAATGACTATAGTATGTTTGGTTCCAAATGTTTAAGATTGCTGTTGTTATCTAACCTAATAACAAATGGAAATGCTGCCTGATTGCTACTTTGGGTCAATCACAAGGCTTTTGATAAATGACAGGTAGCTCCCAACTTAAGAGACCCTACATTATATATGGTTATCTTTTGGTAGATCCTTTTTTAATATAGTGCCACTTATACAGGTGATGACTAAAAAGTTTAGCTAAATTAGAAAACGTGGCAACGTTAAAAAAGTCACATTTGGTCCAGAGAAGATTTAAATATGATCCATTCGCTACCGATGCACCATTAGCATCAAAAATGTACGATCTGGTGCTGTTTTTAAATATGGAAAAATTGGAATGGTCCCGTGAATGGCATCCATAACAGTCTCATGAGTAACTATTTATTTAAAGTGTGTTTAATTAAAGATCTATAAAATCAACTGTTTGATGACTTTATTGTCCATTTAAAAAAAAAAACGGTATTAAAAAACGGATTAATAGACAATTTAAAAAGTGCTGTCTAATCGCTAAAGAACTCAAGCAAGAAAAACAAAAATAATTTTCTGAAATCCACTAAATCAGTTTGAAAACAAGAAACATATGGACCGCAAAATAAAAAAACAAAGCAACAATTTAATCCGGATCAGCAGTTAGTGAAGTCTTATGGCAGTGTCATACGAGTAGTCTATAAGCCAAATCTCCTAAAAATTTTTCAGTCTCGAAGACTAATTGTAGTTATATCTTTTATATAACACTAAATAACCTTTTCTATACGAAAAGAACTACCATCATATAGTTCTCAGAGTTTGAATATCTTTTTATTATAATAACCATTCGGAAAGATCGGAAATCGGAAAGAAATATAATCTGTAAGTTCTCTTCGAGTCTGGAAACAAAAATTCAATCAAAAATTATTGAAGTAAAAATCGTTGAATAGTAATTATTTTTAATGGATTTCAAGATATCTTAAACCAACTGGTACTAAATAAATTAAAAGAACTGAATCCACAGAAAAAATAGATATGTTATAATGCAAATTCTATATATGAGTATAGAAATTAGCTCATAAAATAGCTAATTTGAAATTATTCTCATTTTCAAGTAAAAACAAAAGTATTATTGTGATTTTAATTCAAAGTACAACCGGTGCATTATAATTATACTTCTATATCAAAAATAATATCTTGTTGATATTAATTTTAACAATTATATTAATGTTTTGGATGAAATTCCAAATATGAAGAAGTTCTGGAAAAGCGATTTGTTTATTCAAATCACAATATATTAATGTGATTAGTTAAAAAGAATTATTTATTAATTAAAAATCGAACTCTGCAAGAGACTAGCATTTTGATTATTATAGTCTATATATAAAGTCCATAGATTAGAGAATTTATTGAAAATCATGTCGTCTTACTCTTTCTTGGTGTTTTGTGAAACATTTATAGTCATAAAAAAGACTTTCCAGTAAATTATATGTGAACAGACTTCTTAAAGAAGACAGCCAATTTCTAGAGTATGTACATGGTACTTGATCTTTTTACCGAACCTTATAATTTCTTAGAATTTGATTTCCTGTTTTGAGGTACATATAATTGTAATTGTAAGATAGACCAATTCTCAGTCAGCAATTTTGTTTGTTTTTATGAAAGACTACCTCTCTTAAAATAGTCCATACTTAACACGCAAAAGGATACATAATATAACTTTCCTAACTTTTTGAAACACATGCAAATATGAGTAGGTAAAGGGTTTTATTATTTCCAATATTAATTCTTTTCATAATTTTTTTTATTTTAGTAATAGATGAAATATTAGGATATAATAAAATGTAATTGGTCATCTTGATAAACAGGAAGATTATCCTTGATTAAACTAATTATGCTTTCCGACTCTTCGTAAACCAATCAATTTTGAAAGACGAAACCAGTAAATCGATGACCGATAACTGATCAAGAATTAGAGATTTCAAATTTCTTTATATCTAGGTAGGGTTGAATAGTACATGAAATTACATTTGTGGATGCTTACCTGAGTCTAATCAAATGAAATACATTGGCAGTGCTGCTCTAGAAGTTCAAATATATTAACTAGTAATAATTAGTAATTATAATCAATATGATAATAACATTAATTCGATCACTTCTTTGTAGGTGATAATCGATCAGAAGCTATTTCATAAAATCATTAAACAATCAAATCTAGGAAAAGCTACGACCGAAAGTGACAGGCCTACCTATATATATTCTCTTTAATCAGAAATGTAAAAACTGCAATGCAAAAGAAATAACAGCAACTGAAGATTTCCTTTGAAAATCTCGAGACCCGGTAAGATTAAGACATTGTATTGTGGCAGTCTACTAACTAATAATAAATATCTTAGTGGACAGTTTGAATATAGATTATACAAAAATAGTAAAATGTGTACTTTAGTTTCAGTTTTTTTTACTTAGAATCGTATAGCCAGACGTGTGGTAAGGAACAAGGCCTATAAGATACTTGTACAAAATAGAGTGCTCAAAAAAAACCAATCAAAGCCGATAAATAAATTAAAATAAAAAAAAATTAAATAAATAAGTAGGTTAGGTTAGGTTATAGCGGCGATGTGATGTGGATCCACTTGGGCCTACTAACCTATTATGTGACCGTATAGTGGAAAACCTTAGGGCTTAACCTGATTAAGAGGATTGTAAAGTACTCTTGAATTCTACAGATTTAGAGGTTGAAAGTTGAATGTGCCACTACGGAAAACACAAAACCTCAACTTCTTATCACTTTTAAATAATTTCGGCTTCTTAAAGAAGGATTGAGTTTTGGACTTCTAGTATATCAAACCTGGCTTCCTTGTGTACGTAAGCATACGCTGAAAGTCCATATCTCTAGTAAATACTTTCGATTACTTGAAGAGGGGATTAATATTGATACTCACAGTTTTTTAAACCTGCACGATTGAGTGTTGTGAATATTTTCTTGTTGTTCTGTCTTCTAATGCTCTAATATATAGCAGTAAATGTAATATTTCTGTTTATTTCTCTTCTTTAAACCGAAGGCAGTCGAATATAATGCTTCTTGATGTTTACCATTTTCAATTGAAAACCAATCTGTTCTTAAGAACAGAAGCAGTTAAGAATTTTTACTAGCATTGATCAAAAAAAAAAAATGTGAAAGAATAAAGAAAAGTAGATTCAATAACACAAAAATGGATAGTCTACCAGTCTAGCATACCTAAGGAGGACATCTTCAGACATATAAAATAGAATATTTATTTGAATTGTTGTTTAGAATCGCTATCAGATAATAAGTCGGGATTTGTATCGAATAAGTTAGGAATATGTAATATGCAGAAAAGTAAACAGGTTTGATTGGATGCTCACTACTTGCCTTTCGCCATTGGACCTGCGACTGCATTAGCATAACCACAATTGTCGTCTTTTAACCGATTTAATATGCGTACGGTCGCATATTGGCAAATAAATGTAAGTCATGTGGTCGCTCTTGTTTTGCCAGTCATACGGAAAAATGACGTTTTGATTAAGTGGTACAAACACGCCCCATGCAACTGCACGCACTTCAGATTTTTGCCTCGACTTCAAATTAAAAGCTACGTACTTAAAAGAAAAAAAATAAATATACACGACGTTAATTCGAAGGCAAACAAGTGAGCAATCCACTCTTCAGCGTTTCATCGTCCGCATCCTATTAACAATCGTTTAAAATCTTTTTGTTATTGATTGAACTCAGGGATCCGTAATGTGTTGCGTAAAACTCAATATGTTTGGGAAGATTCAATTAAAACAAATCTTTTCGAGAGGACGCGTTATGAGATGCGAGAGAGATTGGGAACTTCGGTTTGGCAATTAGCTTCGTTTGATTGTACTTTTGAGTATAAGTAAAGAAGGAAAGGCCGTATTCACTTTAATATTCGCTTTGCTGTAATTAATTGCTATTAGTTTCTCGTTAGAATCTGTTAAATGTTGCGATAAAAAATCGAATTCGCTGCGGTCTGGAATTCACATAGAAATGAAACTACCGCATAGTTTGTGGTATGCGTTTGTATGTGGACGTGCCAAACTCATTTTCCGCCAACTTAGATATGCACCGTGAAGGTGCACGTTGTTAACGACGAGATAGATGTGCTAGACGAGCAAAGTAGAACGGAGGAGCTGCAGGAGAAAATTTGTTTAAATAATTGAAGCGTGAGTGTTTCGAAGTGCGTCCTCAATTTGCTTACATTCGCTCCCGTCTTCGGTTTTAGTGGCCGTAATTAAACTGTAACGCATCGGGCACAAAGTCGCTTTTGTCGCGCCACCGGCCCTATCACCAGCACTGATAGGACTGGCTGTGCAGTAATGGTAAGGACTGGCAAGGAAAAAGTATGTATGCGTGCATACAAACATACCATGTATGCAAGCGGGTAAATTTAATTGTGTTAATGAAAATATCAGGATTAAAACGTAACAGCAACATAATATTAGATGCGTGTACGCATGAGATAATCTCTCAATTGCAGTGCAGTCTTTTAAGTTGAGACTGAAGCTGAAGAAAATGATGAAATGATGTGTGTGACATGTACGAGTGTGTTGGCAGCATACACACACTTCGGTGACAATATACGTATTTCATATATCATAATTGAGTTGAACACAATATTTTGCAAAGCGACAGTTTTGATCACAAATCCTTAGCGCTTGATTTAAGGATGATCCTTCGAAAAACACATATGATAACAATAAAGATAAGTCGGCAAAAGAAGGGATCAACTATCAACGATCAACTTTGCTGCAAACATAATTCATAACTTACCAGCAAACACCGTAACAATGATATTTTTTCCCAGTGAATATTTCTGCAACTTCCACTTCCATATACCATTGTCATTGCATTCGGAGATAACATTTCTTCTATGGCTACCTAACTCCATATGTTAAGGCCGTTGCATGTTGATGAGTGCGTATGTTTGTTTCTATGTATGTATGTTTGTATGGAAGTACGTGTGCGGCACTGATAATGTTCATCTGCACAAGGCGCGATAATTTGATTGGATTGTTATAGGGATGGAGGGTTCGTGCTGATAAAATAAAGACCCTAATTGGAATTATAAGTGTTCAAAATTTAATCCTCATTTAAGGGACACTTTGTGGATTTTCGCTTGTTTGCTACCATTTGTGCAAGAAATTAGCTTTGGTTTATCCAAACGCAATATTGAATTTTTTCGGATGGGATTAACTTAAACTGCAAATAGACATTAAAAGGCAGACAAACCGTCGGAAAGACAAACGGATAGACAGACTGACTTGTAGACAGGCAGACGATCGTTTGGTAGTACTTACAATGAGTACGAGATGAGACTACATTACTTATTGCCTGTTACGCTTTGCTCTAGAGTGGCAATTTTCGGTTTGATTGACAATTGGAAACTGACAATTGCGAACCCAGAACTGTCAATTGTGGATTGAGACTTGAGAATTAAAGGTGACAATTGATGTGTATATTGCCTGGCGCTATTTATAATTAAATATTTTTCCAATCACTAATTTTTGTGTTGATTTCGCACCATTTTTCACCAAAAAATATCAATTTGTGCAAATACTCCGATAGGATTAAATATCATGTTCAGATGTATGTAGGTACGTATTTATGTCTACACACAAATAGGACTAGATATGTGTGTCCCTATGCGTATGAGATTTATATAATACGAATGGAAGTATTGATATTTAATTGTAAGGAGAATACAGAAATATGATATAGTTTTGCACATTGCTGCAGATGTCAAAGGATTAAACTGGAACACGTTAAAATTCGTTCATAGTAAGAGAAATAGTAATGTATGAATCGTGGGAAAAGGGAGGCACGACATATCGGGCGAAATCACAAATTTATTTTGTGGAATTACCCTTTTTTACAATTGAATTTTTTTTCTTGCGATTTGCATACATAATTACCGTGGACTTCTGGAGATTTTAAAATTTACGTTTAAGAAACACTGACAAATAAACACTGACATATAACACCGAAAAGTCCAAGTGGAGTCTTATCGTATAGTCCAGATTGGAGATAATAATCTAATAGACAATGCGAAAATTAGTTTTCAAAGAACCAGGAATATAGACTAAACACTAACAAATAGTATCGAATCCGATGATGTTGTTGTCTAGGATATTATGGTGTTCAACAGATATTATTTTGTTAAATCTCAACTTGAAGAAAAAAAAATATGGCTTCTAAGTAAATTTTAATAATGATAAAAGTTAAAAACTAGATAATTATGACATAATGTAAAGCCAAAATATCAGATCAAAGAATAAAAAATTATAAATATTTTAATATTAGTAGGTGACGACATCTAACACTAGCTGAACATAAAAGTAAGTATATGATGGGCGTCAGAAAGTCTATATGCATATAGCAAAATTACAATTTATCCTAAACGAGGATTCTCCTAATAAGTCAATATTCACTATACTCTAATGTTAAGAAAATAGATATTATGATCAACTGGAATTGCAAGGAATTGTATTAATGAAAATCTACTAAAGACATACCTATTGTAAAAATATTCAAGTAGAGTCAGATGCAGATATATCAATAAAAGAATCTATGAGCTAACGAGTCTGATTTCAAGAAGTCTTACAGCAGGTTGACATCTGATACGCATCTGATAGAAAACATTAACTCATCAGACAAAAGAGGAAGTTCTACCTACTGCCACTATCAGAAATTAATCAGGTGACTATACATAATGTCTTATTCATTAAAATCAGAAAGAAATTATAAAGAGACATTTTTGGTAGAGATATCCAAGTGCAAAATCAAGTTTTTTTTTTGGATGGGATTAACTTAAATTGCAAGTAGATATTAAAAGGCAGACATACCATCGGAGAGATAAACCGATAGATAGACTGATTTAATAATGATTGCGTGGTACTAATAGCAATGCGTATTAGAGGAGTTTATATTACCTATTGTCTGCTGCACTTTGCTCTAGAGTGGAATTTTCAATAGAGTATTATTTGACTGTATAGTTAAGAATTTTTCATTAAAACTTGCAGATAGGAAAAAATATTGATATATTGGTCTTTTATTCCAATATCTTTCAATTGAACTTAAGGTATTTGTTAGACAATGTCTTTATTTGTAGAATTGGTTGAAGGCATTTCAATTAAATGACAGCTTTGGAATGTTTGAAATGGATTGCAGAATAATGGCATCATTATCCATATTATTTGTTGTTAAAGCCTTTTTGCGTTCATGTTAAATGTTTAGAATGAGGATGAAAGACAAACTTACTATTCTTTAATATAATAGTAAGACCATGGTGCTTAGATAATTGACTGAATATAAATTTATCAGTTTGTCATTGAAACCAACAGAGTCACTTTTTTGACTCGAAATATTGTATAACAGTATTAGTACATAGATATTATTTAAAAATAATATTTTGTTACTTAATCTCAGTATCTCTGATCTAAAAATTCCAGTTCTACAAAAATAAGTTGACACAAAATGTCTTCAATTAAGTAGACGTATAAATAATTAACGTAATAAATATTGTCATGACTTACCTCGTACGCAAAATTACGATCCAAGGGCTCGGTGCAAAACTTGATAGGAAAAGGCCCATACCGTGTGCCCTTCTGTAAAAGAACTCTTGCAAAAACTCCACTTTCTTGTACGTCTAAATCACAGATAGATTCTCTAGCGCGGGATATCTCAGAGAGGAAGCGCTCTGCATGCATTCTTCTGCTGTTTAGCAGCTGGTGTATCTGAGAGTACTGGTGTGATTGCAGGTTAATTGCTGCAGCCGCCGTTGCTGCAGTTGGTGGTGGTGAAGAGACATTGTATGGCGACCGTTGCGGTGATTTCTCGCAGGTTTGACTATCGGATAAATTTTGCATATCAAGAATATTATAGCAGTTCGGAGGATATTGCTGTTGTTGATGTTCTTGCTGTTGGTGATGCTTTTGTTGATATCTGCTGCAGTTTAATATTTGCAAATGTGGTACTGGCGGAACTAAATGCGGAACCGTTTGAACGTATTTTCCAACGTCGAGACGTTCTATACCATGTTCGTACTCCTCGCTGCTATTACCTAAAACAATGTTTAAATTCAATTAACATTAACTATTCTAACAGTCCATAGCACACTATAGCAAACTACTGTTGCAATCAAAACAATCGCAACTTGGAAACACACATATCAGTACGAATATCTACAATGCTTTCATTCCGAACCTAGTACATGTGTAGGTAGGTAGGCATGTACATATGCACACATCACTCTGCGATCAGTTAGATAATAAAAAGTAAGCAAATAAACCTTTACTGCCTCGTTATCTGCAACGACTTCGAATGCCACAGTTGTGTCGATAAATAAATAAATAAGTTCACAAAATATGAAATTAACAACTCGTAACGAATGTTTACAAATTGCTTTGTTAAGCAAAACTACCAATGATCATCAATACAATGTAGTAGTGAGGAGGACGTATATGAGTAGTATGACTTTTGAATTTCGTATCACCGTGTCAGCGAAATTTGTGGTCGCCTCACACTAGATACGAGATATATGTGTATATCTATCGTTTATTCTTACGCAGTGGAATTATTAGTACATCAGTTGTGGTCAGCAGAATATTTTCTCTTGAGTTTAATATATGTTTTTTAATTCAATTTGATAATTTTTTTTATAAATTTAACTAAAACTGTTAAATACAGTTCTTGCAACAAGTACCCATTGCCCGCTCTCGAGTGTGTACGGTGAAACTAATATACTACATCCATGGAAGGTCTTCTCCTTGATATTTCGTAATTATACTATTTAGTAGTGAAAAATCTATCTAAAAAGTTTAACGATATTGAATTGGTTCAACAGTGATTGTTGGAGTTTAACTGTTTAAGGAGAAAAATTTCTTAAAATAAAAATATTTGAATTAAAATCATTGATGAGCAGACTACTTATGTCAGTCGTGATTTCTAAAGTGAGTAGGGTGATGTCAATTTAATGGGATGCATGTAGAAATTCTCTGTCGATATATAACAATTATTATTATACTAATTAAACTTAATAAATTAATATAATTAATAATTTAATTAATAAATTAATTATATCAATTATATTAAATTAATTATATCAATTATATTAAATTAATTATATCAATTATATTAAATTAATTATTAAAACTAATTACACAAATAATTAGGCTTTTTTTTTTGATGCTAAAATTTCTCTGGAAAGGTGAAAAGTCAAATCAAATTCTGAATTATATGCGCTAAGCCAATTGGTCTGATTTGAATCAGACAAAAAGTTGACTTGGTTTAAATTTATTTTCACTGACGTTACTACTTGAATTTAAGATATTCGAAATATTTTATATGCAGCAATTTCTACTAATTAACACACCTGAATTTTATATGAAATTAAATCAACCCGGTGGAAACTGGAGGGCATTAGCTTCAGGTTGTTTTCAACTTGGCTTGAAATACTACACATAATCTCTAAAGTCAGTAAGTTGTTAAAAACGAAATAACCATTAACAGTTCCAGATTAAAGACTGATTAGTAACCAGATTAAAGACACCTGGTTACTGCATTTACATAAGATTTTAAGGATAAATTATATATAGTATACACCAGCGTGAGTAATCAGTTTTATACTATATTAAGGAAAGCTAGTGGGAACTGGAAGTATTTTTTCCATAACAAATTGAACTTGAAATACAGGATAAGTTTTTTAAAATCATTAACATGCTTGGAATGAATATTTCTAGAAAATTTTTGAGTGAATAGGAGAAGAAGTATTATGTGTACTAACTATTTCGCAAAAATATACGCAAATTTCAGTGGAGAGAACTTCTTTCTTGATGTATTATGTGTACTTACTATTACCGAAAAATGTAGCTAAATTTTTATAAAGAGAAACCCTTTCTTGATTTGTAATATATTATATGTACTAATTATTACAAAAAATAGATCAAAACTTCAGTAGAGAGAGTCTTATATGTAGATAAGCGTTTCTGGTCGATGTATTAAAATATTTTGATTTTTAAATAATTGAACAAATTGAGTTCTGGATGATATTAAGCTAAGCCAGATGTCACGTTTCTTTTGTGATTTGTTTCCCTGATCTCTCCAACTTACAATGCATATATTCAGAAGATGTCACATAGTGTCAATTATTTTGATATGAAATTTGTTTGTTTAACTGAATTAAAAATGAAAACAAAAATGAATACATAATTTTACTCTATCTGTAGTGTATAAAAAGTGGGGGAGAGTTTGTGTCGTCTTTTTGATAGCACAGCTATCGTGGAATTCAGCAGGATGACAATAAATTATATATATCATGTAACTGTTAAACTCTCTACAAATGATTATCTGTTTGATTAATTTCCACTTTAATATAATTAAGTCAGAGCGGAAGACAGTTAAGTTAATAAATCTTATGAAACTCCTTATTCCTTTTGAATTGGCTAAAGGATTGTCTAAGTTTAAGTTTAATTTCTTTTTTTAAATAGTCATATTAATAATATGAATTATTATATCTTCTGATATACGTATATGACATCAAACGATATCCAATATGAAACAATATTTTATATAAAGTTATTATTATTTATTTCTTAGTATTAATTAAAAATACGATTTTTATAATTATTGTAAATTATACCAAGAAAATTATGCTGCGTCAAGATGCCGCTCTTCACATATTTTTCTAATATTTCCTAGATCACCATCTTTGATGCAATAATCGGTTTAATTATATATAGAAAATGATCATATAATCAAAAGAAGCAATATATGGTATTTGTCATTGTTTATAGTTATATCCAGCTTAATGAATCACAACAAGATTAAAAATCATTTTGCGTCACAATAGATTAACTTTGAGTTTCAATAGACTCAATTTTAGAAATAAAATCTAGTAACTAAGTTTAGAATAAAGACTAAAAAACACAATAGTTCTCATTGGTTGCGGCATGTCACAATAGTGTTTTTAGAAAAATAGATATCAAAAGTTAGTGATTTGTTATTGGATTTAAATAGAGTTTATTTAAAAAAAATTAAAAAACACTCATTATTATAGTAATAAATCCCAAAAAGCTTGTGCATTCCTTTTGAATTTCAATAGATGTTGTTTCAGAAAAAACTTAAAAGCACATTGGATATTATAGATTGCGATATACCATAGTTTTATTAAGTATTAAGTACCAAAGAGCTGGTCACTTCATTTCTGGTTTTAATAAAGTTTATTTTAGTGAAACTAAAAGGCATAATAGATCTCATATATCATGGTATTATTACCTCTTCAAGTACTTAATACCAAAAAGTAAGGAGTTTCCTTTAAATCTAAATATATTTTATTTTAGATAAACTATTAAGCACAATACATCTTATAGGAAGTGATATGACACTTTCTGTTTCAAAAATTAAAACAAAAAATCAACAAATTCCATTTGGGTTTCTACAGATTTTATTTTAGAATAACTAAAAATCACAATATATCTTATAGATCGCGGTAGAATATTATCTTTGTAAATAATAAACCTTAAACGGTAAGTGTGTTTCCTTTATGTCTCAATATATTTCATTTTAAAATTCAATAATCAAAACACACATAACTGTTATTTGCCACTATCTCTTAAAATAAAACAAAATCACAATAGATCTTATAAGTCGTAGTGTACAACTATTTCTTTAAATAATAATCACAAAAACGCTAGCCGGTTTCCTTACGGGTCGCAAGTCTAAATAAAATTTATTTAGAATTTATGGATTAGATTCTTAGAAAAACGAAGAATCTCAATGGATCTCATTGGTTACCGTATACCTTAATGTTTTTTTAATAATAATCACCAAAAGAATAGTAACTTCTTTGCGGATTTTATTAGACATTTTTAGAAAAACTTGAAATTGCAGGTTAGAGAATTATGTTATGAAACTTCTCACTTTGATTTTCTTATGCAACGTCAACAGGACGTGTAATAAACTGTAGTGAAGCACAATAAATAAATAATAATTTATAACTGTAATATGATCACTACTAGAAATTTCCTAAACTCCCGGATTTTTGTGCCAGGTTTTTGAAATCTAACTTTGTTGTTGGCAGTTTGCACATTTAATTTTAGGTATATATCTATCTCCTTGTCTGATAGTTATGATAGTTATTCGTTAGCACATAACAGCCATACATTGTATATTATATTGACAGAAACGATAGGTTTTAATGGAGCAGAAACATTGCGACCTTCATAGACTTTAAATGTCAACTGAAAGTTTGAATATCATTTATCGAGAAGTTTATAATTAACGATGTGGTCGAAAGTGGTTTGAAAGACAAGAAGGAATAATTGTTTGAAGGAATTAGTTTTAAAGGATAGTGTTTTTTTTTTGATATCATACCTGATACACCATACCGATCGAAAATCATATTATTGCCTTGAAAATTGTTTTAAGCACTTGATAGGTGAAGTTCTTCGCTTAGCGTTTATTAATTGAACTTTTGAACTTCTGCACTCCAACACTTCGACACCTCGACACTCCAAAACTACGACACTCCGACACTCGGACACTCGGACACTCCTACACTTGAATAATCTTTAATAAAGCAATAATTTCTTTGAATCTCAATTGAATTGAATCACTTTTGAACAAGGCATATATGCACTATAATACTATCCGATTTGTATCATTAGAATATTTTTGCAATTTATCTGCAACACAACACAAACTTTGACTGCTTTTTAATAATTAATATCTTCAGATAATAGGCATTTGAAGAATATGTATCTTTATGTTCGAACGTTAGAGACAAGATGCAAAACTGAGTTTGTCACAGAACAGAGTTCGTCAAAGGAGAAGTCCGATTTCATATTTGCCGCCGTGAAATCAGAAGACCGCAACTTGTTCACGATGTGCACGCAGATTTGAATAATTTCATGTTTGGTTATGTTTGGTTTTCACATTTGCTTTGTGTACGATTTTTCTATTTGCATATTTACTTTTGTCGCTGTGGCAAGTGTGAATGGAAGTAATGAGCAGAACAAAACGTAAATGAGACCGATACGGACACCGATACCGATACTGACGACACGGACGCCGATGCAGAGCCCGAATTGCGGCGCGACTGTTAGTTCGACGAGTACGAATTCGAGTGGTAGCACGAGAATGAGCTGTGAGCTATGAGCTGTGAGCTGTGCAGTGCTGTGCTGTGCTGTGCTGTTCTGTGCTGTTCTGTGCTGTAAGCTCTGCTGCTGTCTGTCTGTCGGTTGTCTTCGCAAGACTGAACTGAAGGGATTCTTCGCAGTGTGGTGAAATGAGCGGTAGAGATATGTTAACGATGACGTTAGTTGATAGAGTGATGAGGCGATGAGGCAATTGTAAGCAGCGGGGATATTTTGATTTCAAATGTCGGATGCGAATGCACCACACAACGTACGAATGAATGAATGAATGAATGAGTGAACAAGTCGCCACGTCGTCAATGGTTGGTGGTAGCATCAGCGTATCTGTATCTCACTATCTGCATCTCGTATTCGCAAATAACAACAAGGGATGAAAATAGACTATGCGTCCACGAATAATCCTTACAGCAGCACAACAAATACACTTAAATGTTTCTAAATATTTTCAAAGGACTCTTTTTATCCGTTCTTTGACTTATCATTCCGCTGCTGCTGTATTCTCCGCAGATACAGATACAGATACATTCGTTTTGCTGTCTCGTATGTATATAGGATGGATTTGGATATAAAACAGTTTTTTGTTTTTGCTTTTAACTTTCGTACATCATATACACACACATACCATAATATACATATATATATATATACATATAGATAGATGTGTAATTGCTCTCATGTATATATAGTATATGCACAATGTCTCTCTGATATGTGGAAGTGTGTGTCTATATTTGTTTTTATATATTTATTATCTAACTTTGCCCATGCAATTATAATTGAGGAGGATAAACATAAATAAATGTGGAAAGAAAGAGTAGGCAACAATATCGTATCAAATGGTAAACGAAAATACTAAAATTTATACCAAAAATATACATCATTTAATTTAATATATAAAATCTAGCACAAAAGAATATTGATTAAATAATTGTGTAAATATTCCGAGAATATGACTCTTCCATAGATGTGTTCCACTAATTCCTTAGATACTTAATTGCGACTTGAAAGCCAAAGTTATGCGTTACATTTCCAACTTTGTACACCTGTGATATTTTATGCAAAACATTATAAAATGCCTTGAGTGATACCATTTAGCAGGAATAATAATACTAGTACATTGACAGAAAGTGGGGAGATTCTTGCTATATTAGATACATAGCACATAATATCTGAGGTACAAGTCATTTGAATGAAATGTAAAGATCTTTCAGCACTAGTTATATAGCACATAGATATTTCTCGTATCTAGAGTGATACCATTTAACAGTAATAACAATAAAACGTTCAAATAAAATGAAAAGGTATATAACACACAACCAGTGTTTATAATTATACAGTTTGATATCAGTTACTACATCCCATTATAATGGAGACCTTGCATTATTAGTTGTATAGCACATAAACTACTAAACAGTATTACGCTGTTTGGCAACAGTTGTGATTTCTTTTTTGTATGAAATATGAATATTCATATAACATTAAATATATCATACTATCATATTACTTGATTGGTATGAAGATCCTACGGGGGTAAGCTACATACCACACCGATCCTTCAAATAGTTATAATTGTAGAGTTCGAACACAATTGTAATATTCTTCTAATATAAGACATAAATATTTTACTGTCCTGCGTGTGTGGCATATAGATAGTGCTGATATTTAAAGTAATACTACACGCCATAACAGTTAACGTAATTATTTTTTATAAAATATAATAATATTATTATAGTTGACACCCATTTCAACCAAAGGAAAAAGAAGTGAGTGACCTAATGGAGCTGGAACCAATTTTAAGTTTTTATAATTTTTGGACTGATGATTATACTGCCATCATATTTCTCCCAAGACCATCTAATCTTTCTGTGTGTATATATGTATATGGAATCCGAAGTATTTGTTCCTCAGTTTTTTAAAACTGTTTAAATTCCGTAATGGAATTTAAACAAAATAGTCACATATCACTGTATTTGAGTAAAATGGTTGTCAAAGGATGGAAAAAACTGTTGCGTTGACTTGAACGTTTTTTTGATTTCTCTGGTATAACGAAAAGTTAGAAATTCTGGGATCATCCGACAACAAGAAGTCAAGTATTCACAATCCACTCCTGAAACCAGGTACATAGTAACTGATCATAAAAACTATATCAAGTTATATTACATATCACTGTTTCGTCATCTGCAAACAAAAGATTATCTTCTGACGAGATTACTACTTTAACAAACTAACAGAGTTGAAGGCAGCCGACATTTGTTGCTTTTGTACTTAAAAACGAGGCGGAATTACTTGTTTGTATTACAATTCTGACGGTGTCACACTTTTAAAATATTCCTGTCTAATAATAAGACCCACACTAAATCTTATTTACTTTACTCTATATTATATGAGATCGCGCCATTAAAACGTAGTATGTTGGGTTGATATAATATAGACAATATAACAAAAACCAATAATAACAATAATAACAGTTATGTTTTTGTCTACCAGAATCCCATGATTTGTAGGATCCCTTAAAAACTGAAAAACCGTCAGTAGTTCTCAATTGGTTCCATAGACTTATAAATAGAGCACCGTAATTAAATCAACTCACTAAGAATATATTTCCACTTAAAATGCAACGACTTCATCTTAATGAATATAGATGACTGAATATATCGGGAAATTTTGAGCGAAAAGCGAAAGACAAAATTACATAAATAGAACATTGGGCTATTATGTCGGTACATGATATATACTACACAACCATAAACAGCAATGATATTGGTAAAAAAAATGTTTTACAACTATCGCATAAATGATGGTCTATAAGATGAAGACCTTAGGTAGAGTAATGCTACGTGTTATTAAGATGAGGATTATAATCAGAAAGGCCAGCACGCTTTAAGTCACCGTTAAACAATATAGTTACAATTAAATCACATAGTAAAACTTTGGGACATTCGTGATATCAGTTATAATATGTTTTAAAGAATTGTAGTTATGTTGCGATTATCAAGGATGTCTCAATCCCTATCTTCTTATAACTGTTACGAGCTTTTCTAGTTCTTTCTCTGATTAAGATTATTGTGTGATTCAATTGTATGGACATATATATTTCATTTCATGAATAAATCAGTAATATAGAATACGCTAAATACTTCGTATACGATCATGGTTCCCATATTATAAAGAAGCCCTAAGGAAAGGAGTCCAATAAATCAATTATATTGTTGGCTTTCCAATAATTTGGAAATAAAGATCAAGGTTTATCAATATTGTCTACCTGTATTGTTAGTAGGCAATAAACAAATTCGTAGAGAACTGTTATTAAAAGCAACATTTTATTATTTTGCTACTTGGAAATGACAATTGAACTGTAGATGATTTGTTTGAATTTCATATATAACCTCTTCAATAGAATATATAAAAAATTTATTTTGCAAAAGTTTTATTTGTTATCGAACGCATATCTATCTATATTTTTATGTATGCTTGTATATGTAACCATGAAATGATTTTCATTAAAATAGTTTAGAAAATTTAGTGTAATTCAATTTGAACGTATACGTATATATTGTAGTTAAAAGGAGTGAGGTAGGAAGTGATTAGAAGATTATTTTATATGTGCAAAGATAAAAGCCAAGAAGTAAGACGCTGGTGCTGGAAATTGTAAGTCTGAAGGTATTTGGTATATGTAAGCTTGTTTAGATGAGCAAATAAGTTGGGAGGAGCATTACAGGATAATAGGGCGGTCTTGTCCTTGTGTTTATTATAAGCAAATATAAAGCGAATAACAGCAGGATATGAAGATGCTGCAAAATGAATTCATCAGCAAATACCAAACTGTAATTTTGTACGTAGTCTGTATTTGCGCTCATTTGGCAACTCTCCCTCGCCGTATGAGAGATGAAAGAAGCAGACTATGAGACTGTGTTTTAAAAACAGACTCGGAATTACTTAGTGCGTTTGTGGTTGTCGCACAGTTGAGCAATCGGAGACATGGACTCGTGAATGCGTGCGCATTCTATATGGACTACTCTTATAGTCATCCATTTGTTCATCTTACTGGTTCACAAAAAAAAAAAAGAAACACAAACAATTAAATGAGAATTCCAGTAGAAAAATTGACTAACAAAAATGAGCAAGGGGCAAGCAATGTCCTGTAGATAGGTTACCAACATCAAATCCTAAAGGCACTCGCTGATGATGTATCTGTCGGTTATTACATATACATATGTATGCTTATTTAAAATGTATGTTCTTTTTATTAAAAAAGTACAATAAAAAGTTAGGCCATATTGCAAAAACCACTGATTGACACGGCAAAGCTTTATGTGAAACAGTTTCAGATAATACTGTATTCAAATAATAATTTTACTGTATTTTTACTACAAATATATAATTTTTAAATTTAGTCCTTTTTCTATTTTTCCATTACAAGAATATTAGAATATATTATAAGCAATCGGAAGACTCTCATTCCAAGAAAGCGAACTTCTAGTAACCAATATATTACAACTATTTTTAGTCAATATTATTTGAATTTAGTGGCTATCAAAGACTTGATAATTATTATGTCAAATTATCAAATAATCCCAGCCAGAGATTTCCAATTTTTTATTCTCGTAGAGTCTTAAAAATAAATTAGATAACGAGAAATACTTGCAGTCGTACATTTTATGTAGTACATAATATTTCTTTCCCTTCGATTACGGAAAAAGTATTGTAATTAAGAAACACCGATTTCAAGAGCTTTAATTCTCAGAATATATGACTTTTTCCGAATTTGAAGGAGTAATGGATTCTTTTTTGTTACATGGATTTTAATGTGCTTTATTTTATTAAAGTTGCTTTAAATATTTTTGTTTGAAAAAATTGTCAGTATATATTGGTAATTTTAGAAAAAATATTTATAATTCTCATTTACTCCAATGCTTCACAATTATAAAAGCAAGAGACTTTATTACTCTTGTTGAAAACTTTAATATAATTATTTTTCTCCTCCAGAAGTTGATATTGAATTGCACTTGAGAAATGAATCCGTTTAACCAAATTTAATTATAAAAAAATTTAGCTAACGGATGTTTTAGAAATTTAAAACAGTTGTTGGGGGATTGG